TTTTTGAAATTCTGAGAGATTCTGATATGGAATGAAAACATGGTCAAAAATAAAAACTTACCCAATGTTTTCTGTTCTGACATTATATAAACCCATTTTACATTATATGTATACAGGGTGATTGCTAATTCATCCACAGAGAGCGTTTCTCAAAAAAATTACACCCTATACAGGGTGTATCTAAATAACACCGAAAAAATTAAAGGGGTGATTCTGTAATGAAAATTAATGTGAGTGTTTGGTATAAAATTTTTTGAAAAAACTCTCCCCGGAAAAGTTACACCCCTTCGAAAATTAAAAAAAATAATGGTTTTTCTTTTTTATTTTCCCTGTATATCAAGCTAAAGACACGAAACTTGGTAAACATTATCTGTCAATAAAAGTACACTTTTTGAAATTTTTACAACCCTGAAGTATGCTTATAAGGGGTTGAAATAATCAACCCCTAAGATATTTTTTCATACAACTTTTTTTTAGATGAAAATTTTTTCTTTAAAAAAGTATGACTGAAAAGCCCAATTCATTGACTAACTTTTTTATCTCTACAAGTTTTTTTCGAAAACTTAAGCAATGGGAACCTCTTCAAGAAGAACCTCTTCAAGGAGATGACAATATGCTTCACCATTTAATCGTAGCGGAAGAAAATGGGGACCAATTAAATGATTATCAATAATTCCGAGCCAAACGTTTAATGAAAATTGATACTGATGATTTCCTTCAAAAAAGTCATGAGGATTTTCGTCAGCCCAAAGGTGATTGTTGTGAAAATTTCTAATACAGTCTCTTGAGAAACTCGCCTCGTCAGTAAATAAAATATTACCTAAGAACTGTGGTGCTTGGCCAATCATATTAATAAGCCACTGACAAAAAAACACACGCGGTAAAAAATCTCGAATCATTAACGCCTGCACCCGTTGAAGATGATAGGGATACAACATTTGTTCTTTTAAAATTCTAAAAACAACGGAATGGCTTACATGTAGGACACGAGCTATTCTCCTGGTACTAGTTTCTGGGAATTCTTCAATTGAATTAAGTACGGCTTCTTCTACAACTGCAGTTCTAACTTCTCCAGTACGACCAGAATCATAACTTCTTTTTTCAAAATTACCACGTTCCCGTAAGCGTCGGTGAATAGTTGTGAACGTAGTATGATGGGGGTAGTCTACGCTGTGGGTACTGTTCAGCATAAAGTCTTTGCGCTTCCAATGAATTACCGTTAGCACGACCGTATGTAAAATGCATATCTGCCATTTCCAAATTCGAATATGCATTCATATTTTCAATCAACTAATATTTCCTACAATACACAATCATAAAACTTGTGAAACAATAAGATGGGTAACAGAAAATGACACTACACAATCCTGGTATCAGTATTAATGTTTTTATGCAAAGCACAGGCCACTAGACTTGACGCAAAATACACTCGCGTTAGCTCATCTTTTTGAAAATGCATTGCATTAGATTTTTTTTCTCGAAAATGATCAAGTTTTAGAAAAAACTTGTAGAGTTAAAAAAGTTAGTCAATGAATTGGGCTTTTCACTCATACTTTTTTAAAGAAAAAATTTTCATCTAAAAAAAAGTTGTAAGAAAAAATATCTTAGGGGTTGATTATTTCAACCCCTTCTAAGCATACTTCAGGGTTGAAAAAATTTCAAAAAGTGTACTTTTATTGACAGATAATGTTTACAAAGTTTCGTGTCTTTAGCTTGATATACAGGGAAAATAAAAAAGAAAAACCATTATTTTTTTTAATTTTCGAAGGGGTGTAACTTTTCCAGGGAGGGTTTTTTCAAAAAATTTTATACCAAACACTCACATTAATTTTCATCACAGAATCACCCCTTTAATTTTTTCGGTGTTATTTAGCTACACCCATATTAAGGAATTTGTTAATAATATTAATTATGGGGTAATAAATATATACCTAGATAACAATACTTTTGATGAAATACAGGGTGATACACACGTCTAATTCGTTTTTGATGCAGCAACGATTAAAGAAATATTCATTTTTTAGAATCACCCTATATTTTTCAATTCGATCCGTCAAAATGTACGATCTATTTATTTTTGTAATTAGCTGTAAGCAATTAATACCTTCGTATAATTTCATAATTTTAGTATGATCCGTTTTTGAGATTCCAATATGTATAGTGAATCATTAAATATTAAAATTATGAAATTATATGAAGTTACTAATTGCTTAAAGCTAATAACAAAAATAAATAGTTCGTATATTTTGACGGATCGAATTGAAAAATATAGGGTGAATCTGAAAAGGGAATATTTCTTTAATAATTGCTGCATCAAAAACGAATTAAATGTGTCTATCACCCTGTATTCCATAAAAAGTATTGTTTTCTAGATATTAAATGCATAATCAATATTAATAACAAATTCCCTAATATACAGAGTGTAATTTTTTTTAAGAAACGCCTGTCTGTGTATGAATTAGCAATCACCCTGTATACATATAGTGTAAAATGGGTTTATATAATGTCAGAACAGCAAACATTGAGTAAGTTTTTATTTTTGACCATGTTTTCATTCCATATCAGAATCTCTCAAAATTTCAAAAATTCTCTCTGATGTAACTGAGTACCACCCTGTATATGTTTACATTTTGAACAATTTATGTGTACGTTTGCGTTAGACTAGGAAATAGTAATGCTACAATCATCTAAAAATGCTTATTTTTTCTTTTTAATTAAGTTACCCAGCAAACATTTTGGTGTAATTTGACGTCGATACTACCTAAATTATATATAATAAATTTGGTCGCAAAATTAGATTTAACCATAATTAAGTAAAATTTACGTTGGCTCGACGTGGATTCGACATAAGTGGAGAATAAGACGACGTCGAAATTTGGTTTTATTTACCAAAATAGGTAGAATTACATCTAAATCCACATTGTAGTAGCCCAGTACGTTTGGTTAGTAATACCTCTCTAGGGAAATTTGACGTCAGTATAACGTTAATTCGACGTTGATTTAACTAAGTTTAGGTAGAAACTACCAACATATTTACAGATGACGTATGCCTCCAAGTGTACGAAAAGAAATTTTATACTTATTTGGTATTTTTATCTATATATAAGTAGAAATATTGTAAGAAATCACCAAAACAACTAAAACATATATCTAATTCACATGAAAGATTGAAAATAAATAAATGTCTGTGACAAAAATATATGTAATGTAATTGTGGTGAATATACAGTTCACGCTTGTTGAAATTAATGCGAAGAAAGTTTTGTCGTGCATGTTAACAGTTCTACTTAGAAAAATAACAATTCCCTTCCAAAATACTCTCTTAATTAAAAAAATATAAGAAAAAAATATGATCGTGTAAAAAAATAATAATAATATTATGAGCTAAAACTATGTTATTTTTGTTGTGTATCACTTTAGAAAATCAATAATGTTTCGTTTTTCGGTATTTTCATTCGTATGTTTTAGTTATGGTCATTTTAAAAATTTAAAATTTGGAATCGTACTTTAATTACGTTAAGAAAATATGGCGTATTGTGCGAATTCGACCTAAAAGTTATTATGACTAAGGAAATCTACGTATTTTACAAATACCTTTTTACTAAGTTGAATTAACTTCAATTTCACGACATATTAGTTAACTTTACCTATTTAAAGAAATAATAACTTATAGGTTTTATAAAAAATTTACCTATAGGTAAATATGACATATTTAGGTCACGTTGTTCTGCACTTGAGATTTTAGACGTTTCACTTTACGATAAAAATCGGAAGTATAACGATATGATTTATTATTTTTCGAACTCATTTTATTTATTATTTTTTGCACTCATTTAAAGCTCTATCTACACCACACGTAAATTAAGATTACGACTGTAATGGTTTTTTATAAAATGGCCGAAATTCTTAAGAACAATGACGAAGACAGTAACTGAACAACCTAATTGTTAAAATAACCTAAATAATATAAATTTTACAAATAGGCTCTTTTTAAATTGGTTTTTAGTCGAATTTACTTTGTGGTAGATTTTTCAGTTAATTGCCACAACAAAGTTAATAAATATTTCTTTAAGATGACTTATAGGTCAACTAAATGAGTATTCGACTATTTGGTTGAAATTAGGTAGATAAACAGGTAGAATTTTGCTACGATCTCGACCTAATATTACTTTAAAGAAGAGTAAATAAAAGCGGCCAAATAGGTTACTATGGAGGCATAAAATTACGTAGAATTTTTAACCAAATCTACCTAGTTGGATATTCTACTATAAAGACGATTTTTAGTTGCCAAACAGGTAGATATTACCTAAATATGGCACCTAATTTTACTACAAAGGAAATTTAACTTTGAAGTAATTATTGGTTATTTTTTTTAGTAGTTTTTCCCTTGCTGATATGGTTAAAGTTACTTTTAAGCAGATTTGTGTAAAAGGTAGATTTCTTGGTATAATTTACGTAAATTTAAACATAAATTAAAACCGTTTGGTAAATTTACATTAGAGGTATATTTTTCTAGTCAATTTTACGTAATAATTACCTCAATAAGTAAATTCGTCTTTAACAAAGTCGAGTTATATCTAATGTTATAGAAAATGTTTGCTGGGTACGTAGTTTCAAGAAATACGTTTCTCCACTTTAACACCCTGTATTTTAAAAATTGTCAAATTTCAACTCCCTGTATATCAAAAACTAGCCATAGGATTGAGCTCTGCGCATGAATACTATTGTTCAGTAATCTGACAACTGCAAAATATCAAAATTTCAATTCTATTTTTCCCGGTTTGCATGGCCCTTTTTTAGTATCATTAAACAATTTTTTACATAAACTTTTTCCCATTTAAGTGTCCAGGCTAGGAAAATCTTGCATAGAAAAATAAAATCCGGAAAACCCTGTACATAAAATCGAAATGAAACATGACTCCGAATATATCGGATTCGAACCCATTAGTTTTATAAGCCCTAATAAAAGGCTTGCTGAAAAATTTCTATTTCTATTTTCAGATGGACTCTCGTGAAAACTAAACTAATCCAAATGCAAATAAACATTCCAGTGGAAGACATTTTACATTCGAGAATTGTTTAGATCAGAATAAGTTTTTTGAATAAACAGGCGATATGTCACTGCCATTGGGTGCCAGCAAGCAAAATAATCAAAAATCGTCAGTCCAGTCAGTATTTTTATAATATCCAATAGAATTTGAAAGAAAAAACAAACATGTCGCGACCGATGAATATGCTAAGGACAAGGAGGAAGGACAACAACGTCAAACCTAATAGAAGGTAAGGATGTTACCGAATAAAGTGTTCTTTAAAAGCTTATCGATGTTATTTTCTTATGAACAAAGTTTTATGAAATAAAAATCATAAATATAAGTAAAACTGGGGAATCTGTACAGCAATTCTGGCTTTATGTTACTTTGAAATTAGAATCATATAAAAAGTAAATCGTTGTAACCCAGAGTAAGATTTTTCGGGGAAATATTAAATTAGTATTATATATACCTTTAAATTATTTTGAGAAAACTATTTTTAAAAGAAATTATCCTTTATGATTGCCATATAAGAGTTAGTTACCAAGAAATTTTAATAATATATAATAAGACATAAGTATACTTCTACGTTTCCCAACTCGTGCCCGTTATTACCTGGCCCCGGGAATCACTGAGCAACTCGTGCTCGTTCAGAAACCAGATAGAAAATGAATACACCAACTCGTGTCCAAGTAGGTTAAATTATTTTTTTTATTTACCGCTTTAACCTCAAGGGATCATTACCGAAGGTATAATACCTTATAAAAGCTGTTTTTACAATAGTATACAATGGATAATTAACATTTTGGCTAGTACAGAGTAAATATTAGTATATTTTATAAATTACTGAGGCCCTTCCTACGGGGCCTCAGTATTGCATTCGAAAAAATTTTCTGACCCCCGTTTTTTAAAACTTTTTTTTTATGTTTCCGATCATTTTGAGTCCGAAAATGAAATAAAAATTTTTTTCGTGGTCGTCTGTGATGTATGCCGGCACAATAACTCTAGAACGAAAGTTCTGATTAACTTGCAGTTTTGATTTTCTTGAATAATTACTTCTAACTTAGAACCCTATTGATTTTCAGAATTTTTGGTTCATCCTAACTACTTTAATATCAATTTTCTTAAAATCCGATTATGCATTTCTTATGTGCCAATTTTAGGAATTCCAATTATTTCTAACGTCAACATTCCTAACATTCTTTCATTCCATAAATTGCAAACATTCTCTAACGAGCTGTCAAACAACAGCTGTTGATAGTAAAGGTGAAATTCCTAAGGCAGGTTGCGACCTTCATATTTGCAATTACAGCCATTTTGGAGGCTATTTTTATTCGAAATTAGTCTCCAAGTCTGCCAATTTATGAAAAATATACAGGGTGTCTCTAAAAGGTCTTTACAAAAACATACCACATATTCCTTAGACCAAAATAAGTCGATTTAAGTAAAATTGCCTTAGTACAAAGTTGCTTCGTTTGGGCTCCAGAGGGCCTTGAAGTTACAATTTTTAAATCGTTTTTCCCATATAAATTTAAAACGGCATATGCGATTTTGCTGAAATTTGGTATATTGGTAGAATTTTATGTGGCAAAAAAAATGGTATGAAAATTTTGTCCGATAATAATACATAGGCGTAGAACTTGATTTTTAAAATAATTGCACCTTTAAAAATTCTACGCCAATGAAAGAAAAGGAGTTTGAGTATGAAATTTAGATTGCGCAACTCATTTACTTTAAAAAAGGTACTCTTGATAAGACTCGATTACTCTCATGGTTTTGACGAAATTTGCATTTTAGTAATTTTAGAACATAAACAATAATTATTAAAATACAAACTTTGTCAAAACCATGAGAGTAAATCGAGTGTTATCAAGGGTACTTTTTTGTAGTAAATGAGTACCCAATCCAAATTTCATACTCAAACCCCTTTTTTGCCATTGGCGTAGAATTTTTAAAGGTGCAATTATTTAAAAAATCAATTTCTACGCCTATGTATTATTATCGGACAAAATTTTATACGATGAAAAACATAAAAATGTACTTTTTTCATATCTTCTTCAATACCTCTAATCGAAACTTTTAACAAAAATACTCGATTCTTGCCATGTACGATTTTTTGAGGAATATTAATTATTTGCCTGCAATACGTATACAAAAACATTTATTGTTGGTTTCCATAGTTTCATCTAAATAAAAATATTGTCAAGTTTTAACACCTAATCTCTTGTTAACGATTGAAAGTGTTCTATCTGAATCAATAATTAAAAAAAACAAATGCGTGGTTTATTAATATGGCTGTACAATATACCAATGCAGAATATACCGATATGTTACTGACATTAGGATTTTGTGAAGGAAATGCTCGAGAGAGTATCAGTACACCCTGAAAAGTTTCCAAATCGTCGTGTACCTAGCCACCCAACTTTTGCTGCTGTTGAGAGACGTCTTCGGGAGACCGGTTCCTTTGCTCCCAACACTGTTGATAATGGAAGAGAACGTTTTGTAAGGATTCCTGAAGTTAAAGAAGACATTTTAGAACGTGTTGAAGAAGATCCAGAATTAAGCACCAGACGAATTAGAAGGGAACTAGGAGTAAGTAAAGATGTCGTTCATAAAGTGCTTAGAGAACAATTGCTATATCCATACCATAAGAAGCCAGTACAAGAATTATTAGTCCATGATCCTCAAATTCGTTTGGGTTTTTGTCGATTTGTTAATATGCAAAGAGAAAGAGATCCAAACTTTGTCAAGAAGGTTCTCTTACCGATGAAGCGGGTTTTACAAGAAGAGGTATAACTAATACCCATAATGAACATGTTTATGCCGTTGAAAATCCGCATGCAATAAAAGTAAACCATTTTCAGCACGAATTCAAAATTAATGTGTGGGCTGGAATAATTGGTAATTTCATTGTTGGTCCTGTCATACTTCCACGAAGATTAACTGGAGAAAATTATTTGGATTTTCTACAAAATACGTTGCCAGAATTGTTAGAAGATTTACCTCTCCAACTTCGGAGAGATATGTGGTTTATACAAGATGGAGCTCCACCACATTTTTCTTTAAACGTTAGAAACCACTTGAATGAACAATATTCACACAAATGGATAGGCAGAGGTAATGACGCACCTGTAAACTGGCCACCACGTTCCCCAGACCTAACACCGATGGATTACTTTTTATGGGGACATCTGAAATCCACAGTTTACAGGGAACCTGTAGAAAATGAGGAACAACTCTGGCAACGTATTCAAGATGCAATAAACAATCTTAGAGGTGATGAAGAAGTTATGGAAAGGATACATTTTAATTTTCTTCGACGTATAAATCTTTGTATGCGTGAAAATGGTGAACATTTTGAACAATTTTTGTAAAATCTCTATTTTGATTATGTTGTAAATAAATATTTTTGTGAAACCTATACACTCTAAATTATTAAAACAGAAATTTAGCGAAAACCATGAGAGTAATCGAGTCTTATCAAGAGTACCTTTTTTAAAGTAAATGAGTTGCGCAATCTAAATTTCATACTCAAACTCCTTTTCTCTCATTGGCGTAGAATTTTTAAAGGTGCAATTATTTAAAAAATCAAGTTCTACGCCTATGTATTATTATCGGACAAAATTTTAATACCATTTTTTTTTGCCACATAAAACTCTACCAATATACCAAATTTTAGCAAAATCGCATATGCCGTTTTAAATTTATATGGGAAAAACGATTTAAAAATTGTTAACTTCAAGGCCCTCTGGAGCCCAAACGAAGCAACTTTGTAATAAGGTAATTTTACTTCAATCGACTTATTTTGGTCTAAGGAATATGTGGTATGTTTTTGTAAAGACCTTTTACAGACACCCTGTATAAGCAGTTTCTTAAAAATTACTTTTTTATGTTGGTGCTAACTTAAGCGTACTACTATTTCGCCCCTAGCCACAAAAACGCCTTCATCAAATTTACTGGTTCTCTGTCGCAACCCCACAGAATAATTAACCGGCCATTTTATTTGGCAAAAATCAGAATAATGCTGGGCTGTGCCTGTCAAGTATCAATAGGTCAACTGTGATGTATAAATGGCTCAAATTATTTAAAAATTTATGAGAACCACCATTTTAACGTCTCTCGAATTTAAGTAATTTTTTTACTGTTAGAGGGATTTAACACTATACACAAATGGCAATTTTTTATAGCTGGTACTTTGTTCTTATACAGACATGTTCTGGGCCTTTACTAATAAGTTACATTCTTGATAACTCTCATATTAACAATTATTGTTACTTACTAAGGAAACGCTTCTCGTATTTACTAAAATAAATAAATTAAGAATATCAAAGGTGATTTAAAAACCGCTTGACGTATTAAATTTTTCATAACTTCTTAGCAAAAAAAGCTTATTAAAAAAATATCTTCTAACATTATCTAACATTTCTAGGATTATTGCGGCACACGAGGATTATCAAGAATGTAATTCTTGTAAAAACAAAAAAAATTAAAACTATTTGCTTGGACGTAAATATAATCAAAATATCTTTCTAATAAGGTATTAATAATAATAATGTCTTTATTAAATAAATTATTACATTACATTTGCACCAAGAAGGCGAAGATTAGCTGAAGCTACTCTTTAACTCTTAACCTTCTTGGTTTACAAAAGAAAATGAAAATAAATAAATGAAAAAATGAAAAAAGTAGTTAAAAAAGGACAATGGCATTGAAAGAGTTGTCAAACAATAGTAATTTAGTAAAAAATATAAAATAGAATTTAAATTAAATGTTCAGAAAACAATTATTTATTGCCTGTTAAGGAGAATATTTTTAATAGTGTAACGAAAATTGTTAATTGAAGGTAGATACATAAGATGCTGAAACAAATTATAAAACTTAACTAAATTATAGGTAAAAGAACGCTCAAACAGTGCAGTAGAATGGTGTGGCATTGTAAGAGTATTAAATTACAATTGTGGACGGCATTTCTAAAAATTACCTTTTCAAACAAGTATAAAGGAATCCTATTTTTAAATAAACGATACAAGAAAGTTAGAAAATGTAGCTGAAATAAATTGTTAACTTTTAACCACTTAAGTTCATTAATGTTAAAGGATATGTGATCATATTTCCTCAGATTAAAAATATACCTACAACAAGTGTTTTGTACACGTTGAAGCTGGTTTTGTGAGGTTTTATCAATGCCTTTACATGACATGACTTTACTTTCCATTAGAAAATTTAAAGATAGTAACGCTCTCTATTTTA